AGGTTTTTTAGAAGCTGCCTTCGCTGAGAAGCCTCTCCCTAATTCGTCTCGCACGTTAATGAATTTAAACGTTCATTGTTACTCCGTTACTCCTGTGCAAAATACCCAGCCAATTGATGACGACCGGGTGTAAGACTCAGTTGTAGTTGCTTGGCTGGTGCCACTAGAGCGGCAAGAGTGCTGGTATGGAACTGTAATATAATTAATTGTCAACCTGGGTTGATTACGCTTACTGCTTTAATTAGCTTACCTGCGCTCGGACAAGCGGGCAAGAAAAGGGACGCGCACATCTTATTGTACAGAATAAGCAACGCCTAATTTGTGGTTAAGGGTACTAGTTGTTCCTTATAATTATAATTGTAAATTGCCAACCTGGCAAGGTCCGTAGGCCTGTAAAGCCTCACAAGGGCTTGGCGTTCTGTCGGACAGGCAAGCCTTTCCACGTGTGGGCCGGGGGGGGGGCCATAGCCCCCTCGCTGGGATAGGGAAGGGGCCCCACAGCTCCCTCGATCATCGAGGGTTGTGGGGGCCCCTGCCCACATCCCCACGAATCTGTTCAGCGAAACGACAAACCCGTTCAGCTAAACGACGAACCCCTGGGAGGCCTGATTACCGAAAGCCTCACAGATGTTCGACGTTTAGCTGAACGAGTAACCCGCTAACCCCAGAGTGTTTCGCTAAACGAGTTTGAAGGTCTGCCAGTTCAGTGTAGAGGGGAAGTGCCCTTGCAAAATTGGGGCTGAGAGCCACTACTTAGGCACTCGCTAACGAGTGTGGAATCCTTGGCTATTTTAAAAACTTTGCGGACTCGATGGTCTTGCATCCCATGCACCCCTTTAGGGGTGCAAGGGATGCAAGGCCATCGAGGAATAACATTGGCAGGGGGTTCGTTGGCCACCCCCTCTTGCATCCCATGCATCCCATGGGATGCAAGAGGGGGTGAGATCGAATTCGTAAAAAAGATGCCTAACTGTGGGAGAAAAAGACACCCTCGCCGTTTGTGCAGCAGATGTATGCATTGTTTCTGGCGATGGCAAGGGTCTTTCGCGCTTAAAATGGCACTAGTTTTCTCGAACCCAAGCCAAAAAGCTTGAAGATTGCGGGACTTGACAGCCAATGTTCGGCCATAGTCGCCCCACGTGGCCCGTACAACAAACATATCGACTGACGTCAAAGGCCTTTTGGCCCCCCTCGGGGGCTGCGGGGCCCTTTCCCCATTCCAAAGAATCCATGGCCCGCGAAGATCTCGCAGTGGCTTGGCGTTTTGCTCATCTGATTGCAGGCCCCCATCCCCTTCTTGCATCCCTTGCATCCCTTGCATCCCTTCGGGATGCATGGGATGCAAGGGATGCACGGCCGGGAGTGGCCAACGAACCCTATCCCAACAAAGCCGGGGCTTCATATGCCCGACAAGGGCTCCGGCGCTACGTTGGCCGAGTTGACGCTCCATAACACGGGGTTGCCATTTTGATTGATTCCCCTTTTTCTCTCCTGGGCGACCGCGCTCGAGCCTCGGAACATATTGATAAGCTCGCAAAAGCTTCAATGCCAAAAGATCTTGCTCCAATCGTTCAGCAAACATAATCTCGGCTGATTGTGACAATACGCGGTCTACTTGTGGATTGAGGGCCACCCTTAGGGCAGGAAGCACCTGTTTCCTGAGGCGATTGCGAGAAAAGGCAATCGTTTGGTTTGTAACATCTGGGTAGACTGGCAATCCCCAAAACTGACACAATTTCTTAACATCATTTCGGCTTATAGACAATAGTGGTCGAATCAATGAACCCATTCTTTGACTTGCTAAAGACCTATTAATACCAAAGAATGTCGTACTAAAGACGAGGAAGGAACAAAGGCTTGCATCCCGTGCTCTCCCTGACTGCAGGGCCATAGATTTGCCGTCCATACTCCTTACTTCTATATAATTTAATTTTGGTAGGCTCAATGGCACAATGGCGAGGCAAGGGACTGCGACCGACCGAAAGATCTTACTAGCCTTCTGTATGCTCTTTGCTTAGCCCGGCGTTTATTAACAAGACTCCCCCTTCTTGAAGTATTACGTGGCTTTTCTCCACATTTCCTTATTATATTTTACCAAATTGGTACTTCTCTCCTCGATGGCCTTTGGGGCCCCTGCCCCAACGGGCTGTGGTTGGGGGAGGTTCCCTCCCCCCTCTTGCATCCCGTGCACCCCTAAAGGGGTGCACGGGATGCACGGGTTGTGGGGGGCTTTGCCCCCCATCCCATCGAACCCCACGCCCCTGCCCCCTCGATGGCCTTGCATCCCATGCACCCCTAAAGGGGTGCAAGGGATGCACGGGTTGTGGGGGGCTTTGCCCCCCATCCCATCGAACCCCCATCCCATCGCGTCCCCCTCTCACTTTAAGTAGCGTAACCTTAAAATCGGTTGTCCTTCTTGAAAAAACTGAGCCAAGAGGAGATACCACTTAAATCGCTGCTGCTTCTCTAGTAGAGAAAGTGCGGGCTGAGGTTGGTTGGGATGGAGAAGGGACCACACAGCCTCTGACCAAGGTGGGGGCTCAAAAGGTGGGGGCTTGGGATCGAAAAAAGCACTGCTCTGGTTAGAAGCCGTGCCCTCGAAATTGGCAAAATGATACCGATTTGGATAACTGCTAATAAACCACCTATTCCAACCAAGTGAGGAAAGCCCCCGTATTCCGCTTCCCCTTACGAAATTAAAGAGAATAGTTTCGACTCGGTCACTGGCTGTGTGGCCAGTACAAATCGTTGAGAAATCGTACAAGCTACCTATTCGCTGTATGGTATTGTACCTCCAACTCCGTGCATTGGCTTCATTAAAAATATCAAAGGGAGCAGCGACGAAGTAGAGGGGTTGATCAACGAGAAACCCTAGCCTACAGACATGACCCAACCCATAGAAAGAATCGTGTTGCCAAAGGTGATTGCATGAGATGATGCCAAACGGGCCCTTCCATTGGTCACGCATTTGAACAGCGATGGCGATCAAACACGCCGAATCTTGACCTCCAGAAATTGCTAGCATTGTGGCCTTATTAGTTGTCAAGACATTCCGTCTTTTTAAGATGGTTTGAACCTGATTTACCAATTCTATACTCTTTTCAAGATCCTTTTCCATCTGTTTTCCCCTTACCAAGTTGCTCCCCCCATCTTGAATAGGTCCCCATTGAGGTTCACAGGCCACTCGTTGAGCAAAATGCCAAACACCTGTGAGGCTAGGCCAAGAAGGGGGTTTGTTGGGATAGGGACGGGGGCCCACAACCCGTTCAGCGCTTGGGGGAGGTTCCCTCCCCCACAGCCGAACCCGTTCAGCGAAATGTCGAACCCGTTCAGCGCTTGGGGGAGGGAACCTCCCCCACAGCCGAACCCCTCGGAGGCCTGAAAAGCCTCTGTGAGAAGGGCGTGGCACATCAAAGAGGGAAGAGCAGAGATCACCATTGTACATTGTACAATGTAATAGGTGAACTTGTTATAAGCACACATTTAATCGTTACACACCAGTCTAGCTATGTAATAGTCGCTAGATATGTTAACACGATGTACAGGAAAATAGATAACCAAGTTATTGATCGCAGAAAGGTTTTTGCCTCACCATAATTCTTAAATAGATTGCTGCTGTTAAATGCACGTAACAAGGCATTTTCTGTATTGGTTTGTGGCACAATCAGGGCAATAAGACAAATAGTTACAAAGAAACGGATTGGAGTTAGCATCGAAAAGAATGTTTTGTAATTTAACTGCGTTAAAACAACTGTTAGAGAGAAAAAGGGACTTGCTAGCAAGGCGCACCTTGTGATAGAATAGAGAAAGGTAAATAGCCGGGATAGCTCAGTTGGTAGAGCAGAGGACTGAAAATCCTCGTGTCACCAGTTCAAGTCTGGTTCTTGGCAAAGAGGGTTGGAGAGAGAAGCCTTCTCGATAATTATAAACAAGGAGTATTACAAGAAGTGCGCAAGTCCACCTACTTCTAGAGTATACGCAGTGAGAGGTTTTTTGAGAAGTTTTTCTACCGCTTTTCACCGCGACCCCTCATTACAACCACCTCCAGAAACTGGGGACGGGAGAGAGGGATGGAGCCTAACGCGAAACCCCCCTTCCCTTTATCGCCATCGCCTACCAAGGACTTCCACAAGTTTGGCGTTTTATTAAACGGATGCTGATTCGAAAAAGGGAGGAGTTGTATATAAACTCTCAACAAAAACAAACCCACCAGAGTCGTTGTTTTAAGAGATACTGCTATCTACAGACCATAGACGCACCAAGTGAAAGGAATGAGAGCTGCTATAAACTTAACCAGCCCATACTTTGTAAATATATCTTGTCTCAAGGCAATCCTTGCAGACATGAATCCAACCAAACATCTAATTAAGATAAGCAATTTAACTGGCATAGCTTGATCTCTAGTAATTGGCTTTGACTAGTTGATAGTGTCTTTACCCGGCTTGATTTGTAACCCTTTGAAGACAACCCCTTTGTTGCCCCCTCTTGCATCCCATGCACCCCTAAAGGGGTGCATGGGATGCACGGGTGGCCATGGAACTCCCATCCCAACGAATCCCTTCTTTCTGCAAAAGCTACCCTAAAGTGGATTGCTGCAAACATTTCCACCAATCTAGAGAAATTATGACGAATCAAGGGCACAACTCCCTCTCTCACAGACTCCTGATAGGATTCATATAGAAAGTTGCTGCCCAATAATCTCACTGAAGAGTGATCGGCTCTTTCTCAATTTTCAATTTTCAAGAAACTAGCGCTCAGTGTAATTGTGATTCATTAATTTTATAACAATTCCCTAATAAGATAACAATCTTTAGGATAACAATAAGTATCACCAGTAGTAGCTGCAAATAATAGAGTGTCCAAATCACGGCATTTCAGCAGGGGGCTAATACCGTCCCTTGATCGACGAGTTTATCGTTCAAAATTGGTCAAAAACGCCGCATGTCAATAGACAAACCCCTACCCCCTGTGCTAAGGTGTAACATATAGATCAATCTTGCGCCCCTTTAACTCAGTAGGTAGAGTATTGGCATGGTAAGCCAAAAGTCGCCGGTTCAAATCCGGCAGGGGGCATTTTAAGCAATATCAACTGTGAGGTAGAGGCTATCTAGCTTTGCTACCTGGAGTAAACATAATTCCTGCTTGGGTGGTTCTCGCTTACTTGGTCCACATTCAACAGTTGCTGAGTCTCATTAATGTCTTGTTGAGAAATCTTGGGGGGGGGTAACCCCCCCCAAGGAGAAATCATCTATATTAGAGCATTCGTTCTAGGGTGGAAGGATTCGAACCTCCGAATGGCGAGACCAAAACTCGCTGCCTTACCACTTGGCGACACCCTATTTAGTTTCGATTGCACTGCAATCTATATATAATCTATTTGGTAATTTGGTGTCAAATCTGGGAAGAGACCGATCAATAGCTTGGCCTCACAGAGGGGTTCGACGTTTCGCTGAACGGGTTTAGCCCATTCAGCAAAATGCCGAATCCGGCGGCAGTAGGGGGCAGTTGCTTTGCATGGTTTGGGGGAGTTGGGGGGCAAAGCCCCCCACGACCTCCCCCATCCCCTGCCCCCACAGCCCTCACAGCCGAACTTTTGTGAGGCCTGCGAGAAGGAACACCGACAACAGGGTCGGTGCTTTAATTCCCCCTCATACCGTAAATGAGAGGGCGGGTCAGGCAGTTAATACAAGGTAATCTACCCTCGAGCTTGGAACCAACCGTAGCTGTGGAGCCCCGTACCTAGGAGATTAACACCGAGGTAACAGATCCAAACTACAAAGAAACCAGCAACAGCAATGAGAGCTGGCTTATTACCTCTCCAACCTTTGCTCAATCGAGTGTGCAAATAGATGGCAAACACTAGCCACGTGATAAGAGCCCAGGTTTCTTTCGGATCCCAACTCCAATATGACCCCCAGGCCTCATTTGCCCAAACAGCCCCCGAAAGTATCCCAATGGTGAGGAGAGGGAAACCTAAGCCTAAGGTTCTGTAGCTTAAGTTGTCAAGTGTTTGAGCAAATGGGGAGAATGGAGCTCCTGAAACGGGTAAGACCTCACCGTTGTTCGACGTTCCGTCGGCGAGGGTCAAGCCATCCAACCCCGCTGATGGAGCTCCTACGCCTGTGAGACCCAGCCCACCAAGGGGTATAGACCCCGGCCCTATTGAGGCCTTAAGTGATAGGTTTGTCTCAATAGTTGAGGATGGATGACCATCCGTTCCCAGGCTAGGCCTCACAGATGTTCGGCTCGTAGGGGCTTCTGCCCCTAACCCAGTCGAACGGGTTGGTTGGCAATCCCTGGCCATCGAGCCCTTGCCTCCCTTCGGGAGGCACGGGGCAGGGGGATGGGGGGGGGCGAAGCCCCCCCCCACACCAAAGGCCAACGATGGGGTTGCCACATTTCTCTTGCCTACAATGCTAGCTAACCCGTCGGACGGAACGGCTTTGGGGGGGTTTCCCCCCCTTCACCTGTGAGGCCTGTAAGTTGGGGAAGGGTACCTCCCCCATATCCTCTTCTTTAACGTAAGGATCAACGCACTGGTCAAGAAGATGCTTGATTTTACCCTTCTCGAGCATATTGAAGCGGGACTGTCCGCCAGTAGGACTTAAAACATAGTGGTCTCCCTCCCCAATTCGGTCTCTGGCACTGCCCTGTTCATAACCCGGCGAATGGTTTTTTAGGCCTCTCAGGCCTCCCAGAGCGGGTGATGCATTTTCTAACGTCTTTTTGTCATAGTAATTTACCACAAGAAATGCAAGAGCAAGCAAGGACCCAGAGATCAAGGCAACATAACTAATCATCATTACAGTAACATGCATCATCAACCAATTCGATTGGAGGGCAGGTACAAGGGCAGTTGTTTTTTGCATCTCTTTTGGCAAGCTAAAGCTTGCAAAGGCGTGAGTAAGCAAGGCGACAGGCGATGTTACAATCCCGAAAAGATCTGACCGGCTTATTATCTCCATAATCAAATGGAAAGCTGTAAACCCCCACGATAAGAAGAGCAAAGACTCATAAAGATTGCTTAAGGGGAAATGGCCCGATGTAAACCAGCGGACTAGCAACAGACCAGCCAACGACAGATTTGCTACGGCCATCCCAACAGTTCCCACTGGAACGAAGGACGGGTTGAGGGAAAATGTTAACCTTATCCAATACCAAACAACCATTGCAAGAAGGCAAGCAAATGACAAGTTGCCTAACATATATTGAATGTCTAAAAGGGTCATAATAGAGAAATTATGGGGTTTACCAAGAGTTCGCAGAATTGGTATTTGCTTTGCTTCCTAACTGTGTCTGCTCTTTTTATTATAGCACCTCTCTGCCTGGTCCCCTACTTGGACACAGGCAAGCCCGTTGTGAAGCAACCTTAAAACCACTCGACCAAATACACTCCACCTAAAGGCCTTACTACCACAACAAGCTGGATACGCCTCGCACTAATTTAATGGGCTGCTAATCAGAGTCTAGAAAGCCCGTTTCATAGGGCGCCTTGGAAGGGACTCAGCGCCCTGAGAAGGGCCATAAGAGACGCCCCCTCGCCCACCGAACGGAAGACCAAACCCATTTGACGGAATGCCCTGGAGTTAGACGGGTGCGGCTGTGGGGGAGGTTCCCTCCCCCAAGCGCTGAACGAGTTTTGTAAGGTCTGCGAAGCCTTGTCCCTTTTGTTCGCACAATCGGTGATTTATTTTGCTCTACCTAAATAGTTGGGTTGCCCGGGACTCGAACCCGGAACTAGTCGGTTAAAAGCCGAATACTCTACCATTGAGTTAGCAACCCTATCTTAAACAATACTACCCTTATCGACCTGCTTTTGCAAGGCCCACGAACCCACACTGCCGTGTAACAACCCCAATCTGACCATTGAATCTCAAAATTGACAACCACAAATTACATGTTGTATACTGTCTTTCATGGCGGGCGTAGCCAAGTGGTAAGGCGCTGGACTGTGACTCCATTACTCGCGGGTTCAAATCCCGTCGTTCGCCCAATTTCTGTCTCTACCGGCAGTTTAACATCTCTTTTTTATAGCGAGAAAGGAAAGAGGCCGTAACTGACAAGCTTCCAACTTTTGGTTAGATTTTGGGTAAGAAAATGCTCTTTTATGATTTCGAGAAGGCAACTGCCGCTCTCGGGAAAACTTGCAAAGCCGAGCTCACACACAGTAACAATATTCAAAACTGTTTCCTCGATGGGATGGGGGTTCAATGGCCACCCGTGCATCCCTTGCACCCCTTTAGGGGTGCATGGGATGCAAGGCCGTGCATCCCGAAGGGATGCAAGAGGGGGCAGGGGCGTGGGGGAGGTTCCCTCCCCCAACCACAGCCCGTGCATCCATCCCATCGAGTCCCCATAAAGTTCCTGCTCCTTCTAGGCCCTTGACAGGAGGGTGCCACCTACGTAATATTTCTATATTAAGTCATCGCGGTACTCGTATAATGGTAATACCTCAGTCTTCCAAACTGAAGCCAGGGGTTCGATTCCCCTGTACCGCTTGTTTTGTTATCATCTAATAGCTTATCTCCTGGTGATTTGGGGGTTCATTGGGTTGTGGCCCTGCACCCTTTTGGTCGGCTGTAATCCTCCTGTCCCCTAACTCGCTGAAGGGTCTGTGGTTGGGGGAGGGAACCTCCCCCCTCTTGCATCCGTTCGGATGCACGGGTTGTGGTTGGGGGAGGGAACCTCCCCCCTTTTGCATCCCATGCACCCCTTTAGGGGTGCAAGGGATGCACGGGTTGTGGTTGGGGGAGGGAACCTCCCCCCTTTTGCATCCCATGCACCCCTTTAGGGGTGCAAGGGATGCACGGGTTGTGGTTGGGGGAGGTTCCCTCCCCCACGCCCCTGCCCCCTCGATGGCCTTGCATCCCATGCACCCCTAAAGGGGTGCAAGGGATGCACGGGTGGCCATCGAACCCCCATCCCATCGAACCCCACGCCCCTGCCCCCATCCCAACGAGCCCCAACCCCCTTGGACAAAGCAATGGGCAATGGAGAAGAGAGGATAACAACAAGGTGGAAAACTTCTACCCCCTTGTTTGCCGAATTACACACCCTTTTTTGCAAAAACAACAAAACAGACTCCAGCGAAACAAAGCTCGAGCCAACAGCTGCAATTCTTGACAAAGGGCGGTCTATTTTAAATGATCACATTGGAAATAGACAATTTGATCATTCTTTCTGCTAAGGTAGCTATTCAGTTAACTACCAATTTTCACTCCTAGTTGATTGTAAGTTCTCTGTCTTGCTAAAAACGGTGTGGATTTAGGGCTGGTTTGTGTATAATAACAAGTATTAAAGGCTCTGTTTTGCTACCTTGTCCGACCGGTACCCCCTATTGCGCGCAACCCCATCTATGCTGTTTCTACCACCAACGTGGCAATAGCCATCACTCTCTCTCCTTGTGAAATTAAAGTGGACACCTGCCTTTTCGTGGCTTTAAGAGATGGGAAACGGGCCCCACAGCCCGTCCGACTGGGTTAGGGGCAGATGGCAAAGCCATCGAGGGGGCTGTAAGGCCCCAATCCAATGGCTAACAAAAGGCCTGTGCCTATGTGGGTTACTAATAGCCTCGTTTCTTTAAACTGACAGCATTGATGCTTCCGTACCAAAGGGGTTCGTTGGGATGGGGGTTCGATGGCCACCCGTGCATCCCTTGCACCCCTTTAGGGGTGCATGGGATGCAAGGCCATCGAGGGGGCAGGGGCGTGGGATTCGATGTCCACCCGTGCATCCCGAAGGGATGCAAGAGGGGGGAGGTTCCCTCCCTCAACCACAACCCGTGCATCCCGAAGGGATGCAAGGCCAGCGAGGGGGGAGGGGTTTGCCACCTTGCTTTAAACCGTTCTGTAAAGGCAGCCAGCTTGCTGCCTTAATCGGTCACATAACAAAACAGACAGTATCCAACTTAAAAACAAAGTTTATGACTCTTCTATTTCAGTTGACATTGTTTTCATTCATCGCACTTTCTTTTCTCTTGGTTGTAGGAGTGCCTGTAGCCTTTGCTTCACCACAGGGTTGGACCGAGAACAAGGGAACAGTGTTCTCTGGCCTCGGCTTATGGGTTTTGCTGGTTTTCTTGGTAGGTGTGCTCAATTCATTTGTTGTTTAGTAGCCACCCGTGGCGCGGGTGGAGATTGACAACGGTCACCTACAGATCTCTACTTATTAACCTAACCTAGTCGACACTCTGCGGACCTGGTTTGAGGTTTCCAAACTCGACCTTTCAGCGCGTTGAGGGCAGTTGCTTTGCATAGGAGCCCCTCCCCCCACGGCCCCCATAGCCCTAGCCTCACCGAGGGGTTCGGCTGTGGGGGAGGGAACCTCCCCCAACTGCTGAACGGATTCGTTGGCCAGGGGCTGTGGGGCCTCTTCTCCATCCCATCGAGCCCGTCCGGCAGAGCGCCTTGGGGGGGTTCCCCCCCCCCCCCCTCACTCATGAAGCTTTGCCTGTAAGGCCTGGACAACGAGGGGCAGCACCGGCCAGGTTTGAAAAATTTTGCTGTTGTTTCTCAGCCTCTCACTCAATTCAGAAGTCAACGCTACTATTTAAATCTTTACAATTAGAGCAACAAAACATGTCTAAGAAATCCTGGGTGGGGCCATATGTTGCTCCGCGTATTTTATCACCCTGCGCTTCACAGGGCAGAGAAACAGCAGTTTTATGCCATAAAACAACATTCACACCATCTATTTGGAAAACTTAAACATAGGAACACAGGGACGAAATAGACATTAGGTACCTTTAAATTGGAGGATAAGTACCAAAAAAATAGAGAAAGGTACCCATAAAATTTCAATGCAAGGGTAAGCATTTGAAAATACGGTTACTTCTCTATAGAGATAAAAGTATCTATAATAATCATAGGTAACCATGCTTTTCTAAGACCCCAAAAGTGATATCTATTTTAACCCTGATGAGGAAGGAGTCAATGTCACATACCTTGTACATGTGGGCATTGTTAGACGTGGCTACAGGCAAACTGCTCCAACACTACCTTTTTTATAAAAAGGTTAAGTACATTACCATCATTCGAAATGACACTGTTGCCAACCTAATGCGAAAATGGATGAAAGAGGAAAAACAGGCTTTCGGACTAAGCCCCAACAGCAAGGGAGAGCTCCTGGTGAGGAGAGACAAGCAACAGGGTTCACAAGATTTTAAAGACTTTTTAGACGGGATGGTCGATGATTTTAACGTGATCCTTGTTGACGATGCACCGTCTCAGGGGTTACCTTGGGCTGAGAACTTGCTGGAAAACCTTTGTGACCCAGACAAGGCTATGCGGAACGTGAAATTGTTCCGTAAGGCGCTAACCGAAGTCTTGACGAAAGAAGATGTGAAGGACCTTCGAGACGCCCGGAAAGAGGAGGCCACGAGATATTGCCTACCAACCAATGGCCTAATCACAGAAACAGAGGACGAGCCTGAGAAAGAAGGTCTAAGGGCTGAAATCGCTCAGAATGGCTAAAAAAAACAATCAAAACAGCGTTGTTTCTCGTGGGAAACTCCGGTTTGGGCAAAACCACATTTGCAATCGCATTATTAAAAGAGTTAGGCTTAGAGACGTTAATAGCATGCAATTTAGAGGATCTCACGAAGCTGACCTCTAACCATAAAGCCGTCTTGTTCGACGACATTCATTTTACAAACCTAGATGAGGCTAAGTTTTTGTCCCTTATACAGATATAAATGCCCAAAAGCATTCCCAGCAGGTACCGCAATGTTGATAGGCCAGCAGGTCTTGTCCTTGTGTTCACCTTAAACGAAACCGCATTCCTACGGATTGCGAAAATGATGTTGAAAGACGAATATAAAAGGAGATCCACGATTGTGCCTATACCGTCCGACTTTATGCTCCAGGACAAGATAGTGGACAACATTTACATTAAAACCATCAACGTTTTCAACTTCAGTCTCCACAACGAAAAAGAGATGGAACAGAACACAATACAATATCAATAATTTAATGAAAAAGCACGCAGGGGATAGCAGGGCTAATTCTTCAGCCATTAAACAACCTAAAACCCTAGCCGTGCCTTATGAAAGGGAAAATGGGCACAAGCCAATCGACGAGGTTTTCTCCAGTGAGGGAAAAGGGGTCAAGGTTCTCAATTCTAATTATCAAGGAGGGGAGGGTTAGGCCCCTTCGCCCCCTGGGGGGGCAGCGAGCCTAATCCATCGAACATCAAATAAAAATTCGAACGTTTATAGATTATAATGAAAACAAGCAGAGACCCCGTTTCAATCCCTCGCCTTTCTGTCGAGCAGGTTTTACAGCCCCGACCTTGGCCTTGCTCCGCATGGGGGCCTTGCCCCCACGGCCCCAAAGGGTAACCAAGGAAGTTATCAAAACTACCTATGAGACTAAACCCCAGATTAACAATTACTTGCGTCTATTTTTATTATCGGAGTTGCAGGTCTTTCTTCTCTTACCCGGAAGGCTGTAGCGATGGATAGAGTATCAGAGCCAGTAGTAACACAAATATTGGTGAAACAACAAGACATCTCTTCCAGTGAGAAACCGGTAGGGGTAGGGATTACAGCCGCCGAAAAGATACGGCGAAACAGTACAGCCATCGAAACACCAGAAACAGGTTCAGCAACGATATCCTCTTCTTCTGGACTTACCCAAAATCTCGCAGGTGGTTTGCCACTAGCTGGCTCAATGCCAACACAACAGTCTCCTCCACTTCGTCATTCAGATGGTTCAGCAAAAAGTTTATCACGTAGAAATACTCCTACGCTCAGCCAAATGGCGCAACTACGAGCAGCCGGCCTTACACCCCCTCCACCCCCTCCACCCCCTCCACCCAACACTAGGGTAGAAGCTTCTGTTCAGAGTGAATTCCGCTCAGGTTCGGTCAGCACCAGACTATCACAATTCGGCAAAAAATTTAACAGAAGACTTGTCGATTGTTGTGGAATAGTTGCAGGGAATAAAGGATCTCATTTCAACAAACTTATAGCAAGGGACAAAGGAGACCACTGGAATGAGATGCTTGTAACCCTGATTAAAGATGAACACAAACCAAAGAGTCTCAAACAAGACTTATCTCACCACGACAACGGAATCTTTCGCTCATCCGATACTAAGGACAATCCTCTCTGTGTCTTTGCGCACGAAGACAGAGCTAGGGTTCTGACCCACGTAGAACATTTGCGTGACACAGAAGGCGGACCTTCTGGAGCAACTTTGTACGATCCCGACCAAATTATATTTGAGGTTAGTATTCCTCCAGGGACGTACATTAAAGCTTTCACATTTATAGATAATTACACAGAAAAGACAGACTCAGCTAAAGACGACCGTGGCCATAAGTTATTATATGCGGGCCTGAAAGATGACAAGGATGAACTACTTATTGAAGGTTTAGTAAATCCAGAGAAAGCACCAGAGCATTGGTCTATAAGCCATTGGAAAAGTTCGACACATGCCGATCTTTATATGCGTAGAGGTAAGAAAGCTGACAAATGGGCCTGTGTAGGGGCCATAAG